GTCCTACCTTAGGCTAACGTACCTTAGGCTCAAATACCTAACCGCCCCCTAGGGCTATATGCCTCTAGGCCTAGCTGTTACAAGTACCTTACCTCCTTACCTTACCGTACCTTAGGTACCTCGGGTACTATATCCTCTTATCCCGACGTACTCGTATACTAGCAGGTAGGTAGGTAGGTTAAGATTTAGACTAATTAAGAGGTACCTCTTAATATAGGAACAACGTACCGCTAAGGCTAAGGCTGCTACTAAGGTACCTACTCGTAATCGTAAGCGCAATGCTTACGATAGCGAGACCGAGCCCGATTAAGATAAAGAAGCGGCGTTTGCTAGTAAGGTAGACGAGGAGAACGAGCGGGTTGCCTTATAGAATCGCTATACTCGCTAAATATTATTAATATCTAGCGCTGCCCGCGAGACGACTTATATACCTAGTATTAAGGCTATCTAGGTATGTTTACCGACTGACTTTACCTAGATATACTAACAGACGGGACTTGTAGGGCACTTATTTGACTAGCGATCATACGGTATTTAAAGTACATTTAAATAAGTATTAGAGCTAGATCCGGATATACCGGAATTAGACTCTTGCTACAATAGAGGTTAGTATACTAATTAAGAGCTTTAATTCATTCTACTACCTACCTTCTCTAACCTCCCTTACTATTTATACTAACGGTTGACTTATATAGAAAATAATCAATACCGAGCTCGAAGAGTATCTCTAGTTGCGCTCTATACCTGCGCTATATAAAAATAAGGCTATAAAAGCTTACTAGAAGGCCCTCTTTTCCCCTATCAATTTTCTAAAGGTTTATACATTTATTAATAGCTTCCTCGATATTGATAAGTCCTCTACGAGAGGCAAACACTTCTGTTCGAGTTCGTACTATACCTATAGGTTGTGTTCTCTAGTTTGCTTTATATTATACTAACGCTACTATTTTGCCTTGTTTTAGCTACTTTCCGGGCCCTCGCGTAGGCTACTTACGCGTATATAATAGAGAAGAATGTAGAGACATTATTAGGCAAAGGCAACCCTAGCGCCTCTACTCGTATTAAGCTCTACTCGGACTATTATAAGATACTAGTCTATCCGAGCCTCGTTAGTATAAGTTCGATTTCCTTTACTTAGCTATCGGCCTCGCCCTATTAGTACTTTCTAATCTACCGTTCTCTAAGTCTAGATATATACCTATTAACTGTATATAGACTATACGCTCCGATTTTGCCTAGAAAGATAGCAAGACAATAGGCCGTAAGAAGGCTAAGCTCGATATCGTAAGTTAATCCAATTGTAGCAAACTTTGCGAAAAGCTAATCTTAGTATATATAGGATATATTAGTTTATTAAGATATAGACGACATCTCTAACTTCGAGGGTTAGTATTATTATTATTATTCCTTACGGCTGCTACGGTCTTTGTATACTTATAGTTCTAGGCTACGTTACTATTTGATACCTCGTAGCTACCTTGCTACCTTAAGTTAATATACTTACCGAGTTACTATATACTTATACTTTACGGCCGACAGTCTTATCTAATCCTACTTCGGATAGAGAAGATGTCCGAGCTACTAAACGTCTATATAGTAGCCGAATGCTAGATAGTCAGCGGCCTATAGCCGTAATGTCGTATAGAATTAAGTCTGCAGGTTATCGGCTTTATAGTATTCGGCTACCTTACTAACCCTATCTAAGTCTTAAGCTACAACTAGTACTACCTATCTACGATAATACCCTTACTATTAACCTAAGCCTTCTTACCCTAACGTAGTATTATTACTCAAACTTTCGTAGGAACGAGGATTTTGCTATTAGTAAGGCTAGTCCTTTAAGAGCTAACAACTATAGGCCTATACAAGATAAGCTCTATTATAAAGAAGGCTTTAGACAAAATGCCCTAGACAGGCTAGACGATAACGACTTCAACGACGACGGTAATAGCGATAACGATAATTACGACGAACTATATAGCAATAAAAGTCAATATTATTAATACGAAAATAATATCGATACTAATAATACGTACTACTATCTCTAGGTAGATTGAAGTCAGACTCTTAGTAGATCCTAAGAGACTTTTAGCCGGCGGCCTCGAGCGATACCTTCGCAATCTTCGTATATACTATACTACTCGCAGTCCTCTTAATCCTCGTACTATTAATACGGCTAATAGGGCCAATACGGCTAGTAGCTTGCAATACGAGGGCGAACTAAGTAGTAAGGTAGCCCGGGTAGTTCGAGGAGTAGATCTTAATCTCGCTAATCTTATTAACTAAGATACTAATACTAGGCCGGAGACTTAGGTCCGCTTGAAGACAACTAACGCCGACGCTAACGCCGATGCTATCGTCGCTAGCCCCGAAGTCTATCTCCGATAGAGGTATACTACTAGCGGCGTAAGAAATAGTATTATAATCGAACTCGACAATCTCGGTCTCGATCCCTATCCCGTCGAGGGACAAACAGTATAGGTAGAAGTTATTAAACACGAATTTATTAGGCGCCTAATATACGAATTATAGAGAATACTACTATATAGCGGCTAGCGACAAGAAAACGACCGTTTTAACGCCGGATACTATAGCCGGTCTTATATAATCGTCGATATATTAGAAAGAGCTTAGCCTATATTAGAGAGCAATAGGTATTTATACGTCGTCTAATAGACGTATACGAATAGGAAAATTATATATATAGACCGGTCAAGTCTATAGATTGTATAGTCCCGTTATACTATATTCCGGTAGATAAGTAAGGTACTTGTAAGCGTAGTAGTATGCTTATAAGTATATAATTGTCTATAGCAGATAGTTGTCGTAGTATTACACTTTACTATCGTAGGAATATAGGCACTTTACTATCGTAGTATTGCACTTTACCGTTATAGTATTGTACTTTACCGTTATAGTATTATACTTTATAGTTGTAGTATTATACTTTATAGTCGTAGTATTACACTTTATCGTCGTAGTATTACACTTTATTATTATAGTATTATACTTTATTATCGCAGTATAGGCAACTTACTATTACCGTCGTAGTATTACATTTTACTATTATAGGAAAATAAGCACTTTATCGTCGTAGTAGTAAAGTTTATCGACATAGTCTCTCGTAGGGTCGTATCGGTTAGTATATAAAGGGATGCCGAAGTTGTACTAGTATAGAATCTAATAGACCTATCTAGTTGAATGTTAGCAAATGCAAACAACAAATACTACTAGATCTGAACTAATTCGACTTAACTTGCGCGCTTTATAGACTAACTATAACTATAGCGCCCTTACGTCCGAAGATTAGTATATATGGTTTTGTTCGCCGTACTCGAGGAGTACTACTAATTCCCGGGTCTAGCCTTATACCTCCTCTAGTCCTAACTGCTTCGGGTAAACTATTTAGAAAGCGTACTTACGAGCAGTTACAATAGGATAGCGATAATAATCTTCCCGGCGACGATAAATCTAATCTATATATCGATACTAAGTATACTACCGATAATCTAGCACCGCCTATAAGCGACATCGATCCTATAGGACTAGAAGCTAAACTCGAGGTACTTAATCGCGATAATAATAATAACGACTTCTCTAGTAACGAAGAATTGCTAGTTGGTAAACTCGGTTATAATGCTCTCTTAGCTACTCGACAGTTACTCGAGTACTAGTAGTAGGTTCTTATCTAAGAAGACGATATACCTAAGATAGGCCTAAACGACGACAACGACGGTACTAATATTGAAGCTACTATAGGTCCTGTCGGCGCTCTTATCCCTATCGGTCTAGTACCGGCATTAATAATACCGCTATCGATAAGCAGCGCTCGCGTTAAGGGCTTTAGTAACGATAAATCCGTTGTACTTTAGACTAAGCGGCTCTAGGATCTACTTCCTAGTATCGAGCTGTCGCTTGCTATATAGTACTAGACTATAGGGATTTCTAGGACTAACTATAACTATCTGCGTTCTATCCTAGATATAGTCGTAAAGGATCCTAAGGCCCCTACTCTTCTCTAGAGTTTACCGAATACACTAGATACCCTAAAGACGTATATAAAGGGCTTACTGCTATTCGTTAACCTACGCTTAAAAGTAGTAAAGTTGAATCCTCTCGTACAGCTAACTAGCAATATAAAGGACTCGGCTAAGCTATTCTTCTTTAACCTAATTGAATTCTTTAGGGCTTATCTCTTATCTAGTACTAATATTAACAAGATGTTTCGTAGTATTAGTTATCTCGTAGACGTACCTTAGGAGCTCTACTATAGTAATGCCTAGCATTTATTAATTCGTATTACTAGTAGGGTGTTCGCAATTTACGTATCCGGTCTAGAGATATAACTAGAGAGCGAAACTACTACTAGTTCGGGTACTAAGGGCAAGCAGTTATAGAAGCAAGCCGACGAGGCCGCCGTAAAAGAGAAGATCAATCGATTTATCGGATCTAAAGATAGGCTAATATTTCTATCTAATATAGTTAACTTCAGATATAACAATATCGCCTGCCCCTATTAGATACTAGAGAATACTACTATTCCGGATAGACGGGGTTATCATTTCGGCTAGGTCTAGGCAATTGTAATAGACTATCGATCTGTACGCCTACCGCGCGTCGACGAAGGCGATATTATTATTAAGATCTGCAAAATTCTACCGTCTAGGAACCTGCAAATAACTGTAATCCTAGCTCTAGTACCAAATAAGTAGTTTATAAACGATAAGTACATCTTTGTACTAGTTGAGAATATAGTACCTACTAAAGTCGGCGTCTTAATACACTACGCTTTTCAGGCTATATATAGACTAGAAGATTTGCTAAAGGGCAATCCGCCTCGGTTCGTTCGTCGTATAGTAAGAGATGTTAATAGACTAGGCAATGCTCCGTCTATACGTCTAGTATAGTAAGACGACCCTATCCGTAGCGAACTCGAGCTTAATTACTTTAGCCGGAAGCAGCTCGTCTCTAAATTCTATATATGCAAAGACGGTATAGTAGTTACTTCTATACCCCTATACTTCTATATAGACGCCTTTAGACTTTATCACAATATGTATCGCGCTCTAATAGGCGTATACTTATTTATCGCTGTACTACTAAATAAGGAGCGCGGCCGCCGGGCGAACATTATTCCTCTTACCCTAGGTCTATATAGCTACAACCTAACGGAGGTAATCGACGCTATCGGTACTATTGTTAGTACCTTGGATACTAGAGTTATAATTGAGTTAGTAGATAGTACCAAGATAATAGTATATGCCTAGATTCTTGCTTTTATCGGTAATATACTATAGCAACAGCTTAATACTAGCTTTCTCTCCTAGAAAGCGAAGTTTAGCTATCGTAGCTATATCCGCGATATCAAGATATAGAGCAATCTCGACATTAAGGTTAACGAACAGCGGTACTACTACGATACGATACGTACCCGTACCTATCTCGAGACATATACCTTTAGAATAGCTAAGGCTAAGAGCGACTTTATACAGAACGTTAGTAGGAGTATAAAGCTAGAACTAAGGCCTTTAGAACGTATTGCCCCGGCTCTAGACTTAAAGATTAGCACCCTAGCTAATATAGTATATTCTAAGATATAAGGCCTAGCGAAGCGTATCTATCTCCTACTTAAGGACGCTATTCTAACTAATATAGCGATAAAGTAGTACTACTTTCTGCTTACAACCTTCCTACTCCTAGGTAATTAGTAGGTATTACAATCTCTATATTACTATATCGGCTCGTATACCCTACAAGAATATAGTCGCTAGGTATAGATTATTCTAGTCCTTATACGGGTTTAGCTTAAAGACGAACACCTTAGGCCTAGGATTAGCGAAGGTCTCCGTATCGCTATACTAGAGGTTTTCTAGGCTGTAGAAGCAATAACTACTACTCGACTAGTACTATTATCTATAGTAGTTATTGTTGTACTTAGCTAGATAGCTAGATCCTAGCGATCGCTAATAGGCTACTATCTTATAGTATAGTAGTATTAAACTATAGAAGAAGATCTTAGACTTGCCCGACGGTTCTTTTAGGGCCTCTATAAAGCTACTACTTAAGCCTCGATTAACAACGCTAATAGTAGAGCTGCCTTAAGAGCCTCGTCGAAGGGTTTATAGCGCTCGCAATCTGCTGTACTACTACTAAGTAAGCGAGGCCGTAGTAGTAGTCGTAGTCGTAGTGCAGGCGCTCTATTAGCTTATTTACGAGGCAGTAAGGCGGTACCTAACTTGGATCCGGATATACTAGACCCCTACCGTAGCGTATTCGAGGATAACGAAGAGCTTACTACTATAGAAGATAATAACCTCGACTGCGGCCGATCTAAGGAGCGTATTACTAAGGGATTACAATTGTATCGCCGCCTATAGAAGCTACCAAATATATATACCGGTATATACTATACTACAGTTATAAAGGAATATACTTAACCTAGCAATATCAATACCTTAAATAGCGAGGATTTGTATAGGTAAGTCAAATATCCTTTTCTAGAACTCTGCTAATAGTTAGCAGGCTACTTAAACAGCTAGTATATAATACTAACAAGCAGAAGCCCGAGCGCGATATTATACGATTGTTGAACTAGTAGGTTACTACTCGCCTTATCCTATAGAGGTGTTTCTAGACTACCGAACTAGAATTAACTAGCTAGATACTAGCTATCTAAGCAGTATATCCTAGCCTGTTTAATCGTCTGTTACTACGTTCTAAGTATAGTAAAGCTATCGACGAGAGCCGAGAAGAGCTAGATATTATATCTAATGTTATCTATATTAATATCCGGGGTACGTATTTACTATCTAATACTAACTCTTCAACCCCTAATCTATCTACTTAATATATACTAGCTCTTCAACCCCGAAGCTTATTGTCTAATACTAACTCTTTAACCGTAGGTTTAGTATCTATACGTATTGCCTAGAAGGAGATACGTAGATAAGGCCTGCCTACGAAAGGCAGCCTAACAAACGAATTTCCGGCTAGTCTATAAAAGCAAATCTAGAGCGCTCTTTATACTAATTACGCTGCCTAAGTTGTACTGCTATTCGTACCTCGTCCGATTAAGTAGTTCTACAAAGTATTATACTACAACGTATATATTAGCAATTCCGTATACGGACCTTACCTAGTACTAACAAGTAGACAGTACTCTAGAACGCAAGATTACCCTATACTATAGAGACTTTATTAAGCAAGCTAGTAACGACTAGGATCTAGTCCGTATCGATCAAATCTTTGTAATAGAGAAGACTGCCGGTGCCTTCCGTTGTCTGCTACTCGTTATACCTACGACCAAGGTAATTTAGGATCTATTACTACTCTATAATATCCGTTAACTCGACGATAAGCAAACCGTAATTAGCCTGCTAGCTATACGTACTACTATATACTAGATTATTCTAATTAACCGCTAGGACAAGCAGATCGATATTATTGTTAATAATACAGCCTCTGCTATCGAGTTCTTAGATATCGAATATAACATTCTGTTCTTATAAGCGCCCGAAGGTCAAGTTAATAGGATTCGGGGTATCGGCTAGATATCGGAGGAGGTACGGATTAGCGATATAGCGGATAGAGTATAGGCTTTCTAGATATAGGATTTAATAGCAATAAGAACAGAGGAGAGGCAGTATAGTATAAACAGTAAGCAATACAAGCGTACTGAAATCTAGAGCCTACTAGCGCTACTATATCGAGCCTAGGAGCGTACCCGCTTTTATCCCGAGCTACGCCGACAAAACGCCTATAGTTCCGAGCAACCGTAGAGGTAGTTTAACGGTTGAATTTTGCGATAGTTAGTTAATATTACCGTTGCGAAATAAGATAGTTGTACCTGCTTGTAGTTGTTTATCCTTACTATTTCTAAAAGCAGCCGTATAAAGAGGCAACCGTTATTATCTTTAATAGTTGTTTCCTACTACCGTACGTACAACCTGTCGTTGCTATGCCCGACGATTGTAGCTGTTGCTATAGTTAGCTGTAAGCGTAAAAGGTACATTGGAATATACCTATCGTAATTAGTATAACCATAGGTAAACCCGACTATAGATACGAGAAGCTATAGAATTTTGCTACGGCTATATAGTTTATACGTCTACTTCTCTTACCGTAGTACGAAACTAATATACCTTTTACGCTTAGTATATAGGGACGTTTATATACGTTATCCTACGGTATCTATACTATTACTTAGACCCTAAGTTCCCGCTAAGGTAGTTCCTTAAGCTTAGAGATAGTAAAAGCAAATCAAAGATAATATTTCAAAAGGAGGATTAGGTTAAGTAGGAATAGGATATCCTTACTCTTAGTAAACGATACGATAAAGCACTTAGGGGCCTTAGTAACGAATACCTTCCTTAAGAAACGATTCTTAATCCTTTGTTATTAAAAGACATTAATAAGGAGATAGCGATTTCTATTAGAACTTTTGCCTTTTAGGCAGCCTCTTCTACTTTTGCGACTGCTTATAACTAATAGTATTGCTCGATCCGGAAGTTCTAGAATAAACTTATTACTCTAGAGAGTCTGGTTCTCCCTAACGAGGCAGCTATAAAGCAGATTTTACAAATTGTCGATAGCGAGACTAAAAAGGTAAGCTTATCTGCCGACTATACCTACTAACTATTTTCTAATAATCCTAGATCTGCGTTAGAGAAGTACGACTCCTACTACTATACGAGATCTTTAGCCTAATCGAGTGCGTAGTTTGCTATAGTATCCTTACCTAGGATATTGTAGCCTAAAGGGCTTATTCAAGTAGTCTTCCTAGATCCTCCTAGCTAATACTAGAAAATTATAACTACTCCGCTAATAGTTTCCTTCTATTAGTAAGCTTGAAAGGGGAGAAGTACCTCGCGAAGATAGTATATAAGCTCTATAAGAGAGAGAATACTCTAAGCCGCGAACAGACTCTCTAGCCTAAGATAATAGCTACCCTTATCGAGTATAATATTAAAGAGTATAATAGGATTACTCTAGAGGCCTTTTTACTCCTACTACTACGAGAAGATAAACTATACCTAGTATCTTCGGGAATCGAGAAGGTACTTACGAAGGACTCTATATTCGCAACTTTGTTAGAGGGTTCGAGATTTTAGACTCGGAGGATTAGGAGCCTCGCCTATTTCAAGAAGACGAAGAGGGATAGAAGAAAGGGTAGGAGGGTTAGTAGTAAGAATCAGACTATCTAATAGGTTAGCTCGTAGCCGGAAGTAGGCCTACGAATTCTATTCGCTTAACCTCTATAGGGTAGCGTACTAGGATTCTGAAATTCCTACTTTCCCTCCTTTCAATTCCTACGTTCCCTCTCCTCTATCCTCTCGTAACGGATTTACGACGTTAGAGTCTAAAATACTATGTTTTCGTCTTCCTTTACTTCCTCTCTAGGAGTCGGAAGCTCCTAATTCGAATCCTCCTTATAGCTAGAAAGCTCTTCTACTACCCCTATATAATCGAGCGCTCGCTTATACTAACGATATAGTTCTACGACGAACCTCCTACCGAGCCTAATACTAGGGGACCGCCGATATAGAACAGAGGTTCGCAAGCATTATACAAGACGGCCGACTATAGTAGAAGAAGATCTAGATTCCTCTCTAGTACTTCCTATTAAGCCGGACTATATCGGGGAGTAGGATATTAAGGCTAACTACTAGCTATAGAGGTTTAAGTATAAGGAGAACTTTAAGAAGTACTACGAGGTACGCTAGTGGAACTATACTAGAAAGCGGCTCAAAAAGCGGAACGGTCGTACTATATTTAATTAGTCCCTAATTACCTAGAGGAGTAAGTCTCGGATATCTTAGGTATAGGATTTCCTAGAGAAGGGAATACTTTAAGAAGATACGATACCTAAAGTCGTATATAGGTACTATAACGCTATACTAAAACATCCTATACTAAATACCGGTATAACGTCTATCGAGAAGTATCTAGACTCCTCGAACTACTAGAAGAAACAAGATAAGCGAGGGTTTATAAAGGAGATGTTTGTAACCGCAAAGTATCGATAAGTAAGTACTAACTACCAACGACTAGACCTACCGACTATACCTACTAACTATACCTGCCGACTATGTCTACTAACTACGTCTAAGTAACTATACTAAAACTTTATCTCTAGACTATAAGCAATCCGTAATAGATAAGGGACCTAGGCTATATACCGGACGATTTCCTACGCTTATCCTTTAAGATAATT